AATGGCTGAGAGGGAACTGATACCCCATTGGCTTTTTCCCAGATTATTGTTACTCATTCCAAAATTTAAAGATCACTACTGAGACAAAAAACTCTCAGAACCACCCCCAGAAGGTGAGCTGGGAGTGGGGGCCAAATTGGAATATCCCAAAAAGTTCACTAAAAATGCATGGAAATGTGGTTTCCCTGTATTTTCAATGAAAATTTGTGAACAGTATTCAGTGTGCTCTGGTGGCCAAGAAGGCCAATGGCATTCTGGCCAGTATCAGGAATACTGTGGCCAGCAGGAGCAGGGCAGTGATTGTCCCCAGTACACGGCACTGGTGAGGCCTCACCTTGAGTGCTGTATCAAGTTCTGGGCCCTTCAAATTACGAAGGATGTTGAGATTCTCAAATGTGTCCAGAGGAGGGCAACAAGGCTTGGAACACAAGCTTTATGAAGAATGGCTGAGTGATCTGGGGTTGTTTAGCTTGGAAGGAAGGTGGCTCAGTGGAGACCTTATCACCCTCTATGCTACCAAAAAAGAGATTTTTGTCAGCAGCAGGTGAGTCTCTTCTTGCAGGTGATCATTGACAGAATAACAGGATACAATCTTATGCTGACCCAGGGGAGGTTAGGCTAGACATTAGGAAGAAATTCTTCACTTTAGGAGTGATTGGGCACTAGAATAATCTGCCCAGGGAAGTGGTGGAGTCACCATCCCTGGACATGTTTAAAAAGACTGAACGTGGCACACTGACATAGTTTGGTTGATAAGGTGGTGTTAGGCCGTGGGTGGACTTGATGATCTCAAGGGTCCTTTCCAATCTAGTTAATTCTGTGATGCTGTGATTCAGTGAGCTGAAAATTGCTGTGAATGCTGAGAGCTGAGTTGGTGCTGTTCCTTCCAGCAGTGTCAAGGTGTGAGCACAATGAAGCTAACCATCTCTTTCCCAGCCCTGGCTGACAAATGCTCATTAAAGTGGACAATAGGTGCAAGCTAAGAACATTTTATGAGAAATGAATGGCCACAGAGCCATTCTCATTTCCTTGGTGAGGAGTGGGAGGGATATGTTTTCTGGATCAGTGATGACAAAGATTTCCCTATGAAGCAAGGTGTCCTGCCTCACAGATGTGTCTACCTTCTGCTCAGCAAGGAGCATTCCTGCTATCACCCCAGAAGAACTGGAGAGAGAAAGTGCAAATCCGTTCGTGGTTACATTGTTGATGCAAACTTGAATGTCCTGAACTCTGTCATAGTGAAAAAGAGTGAAAAGGGCATTCTGGGGCTGACTGACACAACCCTATCATCTTGGTCCCAAGAGTACCATCAGAATGCCCAAGCTGTTCAACCTGTCTAAGAAGGATGACATTTGCCAGTATGTTGTGAGGAAGCCTCTGAGCAAGGCAGGCAAGAAACCCAGAACCAAGGCTCCTAAAATCCAGTGACTAGGGACTACTCAAGTGCTGCAGCATAAGCATAGGCATATAGATCTGAAGAAGCAGTGCACTCAAAAGAACAAGGAAGAAGCAGCAGAATACAAAACTCTTGGCCAAGAGAATGAAGGAAGCCAATGAGAAATGCTAGGAGCAGATTGTGAACTGAAGCTGGCTTTCTTCATTGAGAAATCTACATCTAAATCAAGGCAGAAGTAAGGACATTGCATGTGATACTAAAAATATATTGTACATGATATTACCAGTAAATCCCTTTTGTGGTGAACTTTAAATAAACCTCCAACATTAAAACCAAAATAAAATCATCACAACACAGAAAAAAAATGAGCAATTTGCATAAAATTCCCTTCTTGATCCTTCACCATAATTAGAAGAAAAATTCCCCGTGATCATTCTAATCCATAACACTTAACACCTGTCATTACTTATTTTGCCTATTACTTCTCCCAGTTACTGTCCTTATTTCAAAATCTTCATGATTGCCCATGTTCTCCAGTAAGAAGACTGGGTTAACCTGGGCCAGATGCCAGGCCCCCACCAAAGTCACTTTCTTTCTCCTCTCCACAGCTAGACAGAGGAGAAAAAATTTAATGAACAATTCATGTGTTGAAAACAAGGACCTGAAGGGAACACACATCAAATATCATCCATCACAGGCAAAACAGGCTCCACTTAGAGATAATAAGGGAAATTTTACTAACAAAATCAGAGCAGAATACTGAGAAGTAAAAGAAGCCCTTACAAGGGGGGTTGTGGTCAGTTCATCACCCCGGCTTCTCTTGCTGCTGAGGGAGAGGAGAAGTCATTCCCCTGCTGCACCGTGGAGTCCCTCCCACTGGAGACAGTTCTCCATGAACTTCTCCATGGCTCCATCTCATGGACAGCAGCCCCCTGCAGATTACTGCAGTGTGAGTCCATCCCATGGGCAACAGCAGCCCTCAAACTCTGCAGCAGTGGGTCACTCTTCTGTGGGGTGCAGTCCTTCAGGGACTTCAGGGTGCTCCAGCCTGGGAGCAGGGCCCTCTTCCCACAGGTCTCCCACAAGCTCACAGCCCCCTCAGGCACCCACCTGCTCTGGTGTGGTTCCTCCAGGGCTGCAGGTGGATCTGTGCTCCCCCTGCACCTCCCTGTGCTGCAGGGGCACAGCTGCCTCAGCATGGGCTGCACCAGGGGCTGCAGGGGAATCTCTGCTCTGGCTCCTGGAGCAGCTGCTGCCCCTCCTCCTTCACTGACCCTGTGTCTGTTGCTCTCCTCACATGTTCTCACCTCCTTCTCTTCTATTTAAATTAAAAACTGGAATTAAAACTGTGCCACAAACCTTGTTTTGAATTTTTTTTTTCTTAAATATGTTATCACGGAGGCATTACCTTCATTTCTAATTGGCCTGGCATGTCCATCCTTGGAACCACCAGGGATATGGATATGGAAGAAGCTTCTAGCAGCTTCTGACAGCAGCTACCCCTGTAACCCCACCCTGCTACAAAAAGTAGGCAATCCAACTGCAAATCATATTTGTAATGCATATATATGTGGTTTTATACTCTGAAACTCTTTTGTAGAAAGGCATGTCTTAGAGAATTGCTGTCTACTAAAGAAGGGGATTCTGATGCTATGATGGGCAGCTTGCAGATGATCATTGTAGGTTCCTTCCAATGGAATAATTTTCTACTCTACTCTGCTTTGCTGTACTGTACTGTGCTCTACTCTTCTCTGCTTTAGTCTCCCTAGCTTCCTACCTGGAGTAAAATTATTATGGATGGTGATTACCCTGAATGACTATAAATTTGAGTACTAGGAGTAAGAGGGTTTTTTTTCTACATTTTGATTCCAGCATGGTGAAATTAATTCCAGTTTTTGTAGGACTGGGAGCAGTTCATAAATGTGCAGTCTGATTCCCTAACAGTAATCCTTTGCCTGTGTGTTCACAGTCAGTAGCAGAAATAATCTGGATGTAGTTTGTCCTGTTTGCCTCATCTTGTTACCAGTCACAGAGTGGAGTTCTCTGCTTAGCTCATTTGGTAGAACTCAGTGCTGAATACTTCTGTTTAATGTACAGATAAAATGTATTATTTACAGATGACTAGATGTACATGTTAGAGTGGAAAGACACACATTCTGTCCCAGTCCAGCATGCTGTCTTGGTTGCAAGTGTGTGCACCTCATTATTTCTACTCATTTGTTTCTAATTTTTCTGTATGCTTATGTAATGTGCAAAGCCCATTGATAAGTAACTCCTGCAGAGCATACAGAGCGTGGCCAGTTAGTCAGCCAGGGCACACATTCATCTCTGGTGCACATATGTTGGATTTCATAACTGCCTGCCTGGACTTCTGGGTTGCAATCACAGCAAAGGAGGAGAGAGTACAAAAAGATTTAGGTAAGTACATTCAGATCACTAGAGAGACTTTGTGAATCAAAGGTTGCTTATGCTGTTTTTAAGTGATGGAAAAATACTGTAGGGAAAAGGCAGATATGTGAGTCTGTTGTTTTAATGGTTTAAAGATATCTGTTCTCAGCCTCACTGAAATGACAAGTAACAGTAATGATTTGGTTACTTCAACTATATTTCTTCATGACCTGGTGAATTTTAATGACTAAAAAAGCACAAACCATTGTTTAGGCAGCATTTGCTATGTAAAGTGCAGAAAAGTACAGATGCTTTCTGTGAAATAGAAATGAGGATCCCCTTACTGTTTAAACTGTCCATTCCCAGCTCAGAGTCCTCCAAAGCACAGTTCAGCACTCCAGGGAATGGCAGAAATTGATTATGTACTTGAAAAATACATGGTCATAGAATCATTCAATCTCCTGAGTTGGAAGGAACCAACAAGGATCATTGAGTCCAACTTCTGGCCCTGCACAGGACAGCCCCAATAATCCCACCATGTGCCTGAGAGAATTGTCCAAGGGCTTCTTGAACTCTGTGAGCTTGGTGCTGTGACCACTTCTCTGGGGAGCCTGTTCCAGTGCCCAGCAATCCTCTGGGTGAAGATGTTTCTGCATGTTTCTTGTTTCAAGGTGCTGAATTGTGTTTTAAAAAATAGCCTAAGAATACACATAGGACACTAATTTCAGGAGTTTTGGAGTCAGTAGATTAAGTCCTAAATAGAGTGTATCTTACCTGTTCACATATCTTTTGCTGTTCCTATTTATTATCTCTTTTGCTGTTCCAGTAAGGCAGATACAAGACTGTATTTCCAAAAGGCAAAAGCTTGACTTAAAAACAATTCAGTCATTAAAATGTTGTCCATGACAAAAAAGTCTGAAACCTTTGTCCTAGAAAAATGATGAATACAAGTCAGTTTATAGAAGGAGAACTGAGCTTTGCTGACTTTGTTTAATCACCTAGTAAGTGACTAAATGAAGGTCTTCACCTTGTTTTAAGTTGTGTATATATCATTTGGACAGGATCTGCTATCTCCAGACTGACACTTGCATTTGTACAAGTTGAACAAACATTTGTTCAGATTTAGGTGATATGAATCGGGAGTGGTAAGATCTGAATTGCTGTATGCAAAGATAAAAAACTATATGAACTGAATATGCTCGTTATGTCTTTTCAGGCTCTGAGGAGTTGGGAAGTGGAAACTATGGGCATCGGTACATCACAGACACAGTGACTGGTGATGATGATGGATTTGATATTGATGATTCAGACTATGACATTTATATAGAAGAGGTAAATGTCAAGATTTGTCTTTGGACTTCTGTTTTCTTTATAATCTAGATATTTTAAAGTGTCTTGTCAGGAAGATTAATATGTGATATTAAGTGCTTAGATATAGTGATGTGGTCACTTCTTTTTTTCATTGAGGATGAGTTTGTTGCCTTTGATCTGCATCTTAAAAGGTATTAATTTTGTTTCCCCACAGAATTTTGATTTTACTGAATTGGTGTTTCCTCCTTTCAGCTCAGACCACTTCCTGCTATTAAAGGAGGCAACAGAAAATTTCTGGTTGAAACAAAGGTCACTCCAGGGTCTAGTTCCAGGCTTCTGTCACGGGTCCTTACAACCACTTCTGAACCCACTCCTTCCACTGCTGCCGTCACACGGCCTTCAACCACAGTAAGGGTGGCCACAGCGAGGGGCAGCGTGTCCTCTGCCGCGCGCCTCCTTGACCTGTCCTGCGACGAGGCCGTGTGCTCTGCAGACAGCTTCTGCATCAACGACTACGACCGGGGCGGCTCCCGCTGCCACTGCAACTTGGGCAAAGGAGGGGAGACGTGTGAGGAAGGTAGGTTTCTCTGTGCCCACTGCTCTTTGTCTGGGTCAAGGAGCAGCTTTGCAAAGAGCCCACCAGTGTGCACTTTGGGAATAGCCACCTGGGCTTTGTGGATCTCTGACAAAGGCGGTTTGCAGTTCAGGCATCACCCCATTTGCTTTTTTTCCCTCAATGAGGTGGGAAAAAGTAATTCCTTAATAAAGCTGAATGCAGAACCTGTGTAAAGATGCATGGGGGCAGCTGATCATCCTTCCCCCACCTAAGAGTCAGGGGGTGATGAAGCAGGGATGTTGTTAATCACCCAGGTGTAACAGGATCCAGTCATGGCACCTTCAGATGGAAGCTGAAGACATTCAACCCTTCTATGACATTTGCCTTTTGGCAGCAGCTGAAGCCCTGAATCACCACCATGTTCTGTGTGGTCCAGATGATGCTGGTCTCACTGCAGGGACGAGAGAAAACTCCCATTGTAAAAATACCTCCAGAGGAGGCTTTCTTCATGGGCTGCAAGTCTGCAGTGCAGCACTCATGTCAGACAAAGTGGGGCAAGGGAGGAACAAAATCTCATCATCAGTTCAAAAAGCATGTCCTGAAGGCTGAGTCAATGTGGTGTGTTTGTCTCAGTAAGGACTTGCCACCAGTCCTATTGCCCCTTTTCAGGGCAACTGAGCCATGGCAAGAACTTGCTGTCCTTCTTCTTCTTCCCTCCCTGCCTTCTTGTTCTTTCCCTCTAGAGACCTAAACCCCCACTTTCACAAGGGTAACACTGAGTAGATCACCTGGTGAACCAATCCAGCTCCCTCACCAGGCCATAAGCAGTTTACTTTTTCCACCTGAAGTAATTTTTCTTCTGGTTTGGTGACCAAGGTGCCTCTTGAAAAGAAAACGTCCCATTAGGTGTGGTGCTGTTCCTCCAGCTAAGAAGGAGCTGATCTGCCCACCCCTCTGATGGACATCCCTGTCATCTTCCTATCCCTCTGCTGATCTGATCTGCCAAGACTGTGCCATGCACATCAGGAGCATCAGGAATCCATGTTTCTTCTACGGGGTCATTTTAGACTTCCATGTTGCACAGCATCATGCATCAAGGATACAGACACTGAGGGTGCTTCATCTTCTTAAACTGGAATGCTGGAACAAAGAGGGTTCCTTCTGAAAACAATTTGCTATGGCTCAGCGACATGGAACAGCTGCAGATATGATTTTAGGCCTTGGTCAAGTATGAAGAGTTGAGGATTTATTTGAACTGACAAGGTCATATACAACTTGTAAAGCAGTCTATTAACACCAGTCCAAAGACTATTTTTCACAGGGGAGTGTGTTATTCCAGAGTAAACATCATGTGGCAACATTCCTTTGTACAGAGTTTGTCTTCAGTAGACAATATTGTTAAATAATGTATTAATCTGAATAGAAACAAGCTTTTCTTCACAGCTTCAACAGCTGCCTCACACTCTGGTCCAGTCAGTTCTGCCCGCGATCAGGACAAGGGATAATTGTTCTCTGCTGAGGTTGCATTCAGGTTTATAGCACCAATCCCCTTCACCTCAGACTAAAATGCATATATTTGCAAGCAAAAACTCTACCCAGATTGCAAAACTGAGTGAGAAAAACTCAGTATTTAAATAGCAAAGAGGAATAGGAAACTCAGGCCTGAAACTGCATCCGTTCTCAGTGTTTCTTATGAAAATAGGCTGAAAAGATAATTTTACAGCTGAGAGTGGCTAGCAGTAAGACATCTCTAATTTTCATTTTTTCTCAGGGTCAGGGTCTAACACAAGACACCAAAGGGTGAGGGTTGATAATGCCATTTAACAAGAGCAGTAAAAAGAGCCACTGTTGCAGCCAGGGATGGAAAGATGCCCGCAAGGACTCTCTTCTCCCCTTCACTCCTTTTAGCTTCTGCCCTAAGCTGACTTAAGAGAAGTGCTGGAAGCTGCTGGACTGTTATGAGGCATCCAGTGATTCCCCAGATGCATCAGCTACAGAGTAGCAGTGACTAATGCTGCCTAGAGTCTGTCTGTATTTCCCATGTGTGTTTTTGTAATCCTGCAGAACAGAAAATTACTTTGTCCTCTCTTCCTTAAATCAGTTCTTAAAAGAAGATAAATATAAAGTTGATGTGGTCTTTCTTCTGTAACAGGGATGAAAAGCTGCAGAAATTTCCTCTGAACTCTTTGATTAAACTATTGAACATTATTTGGCCCTCGGTATCCTGTTTCCTTCCAAGTTCACCAGGTCCTTGGGAATAAAGGAATTAGCTGTAAAAAGTGGTGGGAGGACAAGGCAATAGGTTAACTGTTTGTTGACTGCTACTGACTAATGGTTGTCTCTGGAGGAACTCTGCCTTTCATCCCACCTGATGTTATCTAGTACTAAATGTGTATATTGATTTTATACTGCTAAATAAGATGCTTCCCTCTTTGCTTTTCAGATATTAGTATCCAGTATCCTCAGTTCTCTGGCTACTCATATATCACCTTTGAACCACTGAAAAAGTCCTATCAGACATTTCAAATTACGCTTGAATTCAGGGTAAGTTTAAGCAATTCTCACATTTTAAATTTTATTTACTTACTCTGACATGGTGGACAATAGAGCAGTAACTTAGCTTCAGTGTGATTGTGGTGAACTTGTGTATAACCTTCACCTGCAAAGATCTGGCTCAACCCTCAGTTGAAGGGTTTTCATCCATTGTTGGTAGGTACTGCGTGAGAGAATGTCTGGGACTAGTAGTTGTGGACTAGCAGCAATGTACATTGGCAAGGTTGCAGTCACGGGATGAGCTACAGGCTGAAGAACACACAGAATTTTTGTGAATTAGAGTTTGAAAGCAGTATGCTGTATTTTTGTGGACAAGAGATTATGATCCTGTCATACTGAGCAAAACACTGCCCTACATATAGCATTCCTTTCCCACCCTGCAGAATTTAAGTGGACATTATTTTCCCTCTCTGAAGTTTGGGACATGGGCTACTAATACATTCAGGATGCTTAAAATGCAGGACTAATATGCAGATACATCCCACACTGGCTTGTGTTAGTGCTGTCTGTTCATTACGGACAGAACATGTAGGGCTGCCTCTAGGGAGGATGGCCAAGCTCTTGGATGCATCCCCACCCCCATATAAAGCAGACTCACCAGCCTCACAATCTGGGAAGGAGACTCAAAGCAGCAGCAACAGTTGCCTCAGTGGTGATCTTACACTTCTCTGGCAATTTGCCATTTTAAAATGCAGGATGGCTGCAAAAAGCCACTGTGTCAGTTCCTATGAGCATATAGAGAAATGCTGCCAGCACAGCCTCTTTGGCTTGGGGAGTGTCAGTCTCATGGAACATGTCAAGTAGGGTGTATGTATTCATGCACAGTGAGTCTGATGTGTCTACACTTACCAGGCTTGCTAGGACATTCTTGCTAGACTTTTTACTCAGGAGTTTCATGTGGAATATGCCTGACATTCTTGAATACCTCCAGGCTTTTTTTCTTGTCTATAGTACCATACTTTAAGAGATGGTCTTAAATTGTTTAACCATTAAGGCAGTGATTTTCTAGGTTTTTCAAATGCAGGATTCAAAACTGATCAAACAATTTCTGATCCTGCAAGTTAAAAACTTATTCTGAAAAATAGTGACCCTTTTCTGGAGAAAAGTCCTCCACTGCTTCTTGCTTTTATCTGTAATTGTGAGGCTTTGATTTTTCATGTTGACCCAATGATTGCAGGCTGAATCTGAAGATGGTTTGCTGCTGTACTGTGGAGAAAATGAACATGGTCGTGGTGATTTTATGTCACTGGCAATTATCCGACGTAGCCTCCAGTTCAGGTAAAACCTCCATCCTAAATCTGATACAAAGAGAAGGGGCTATTGCTGCCTCCTGGGACAGCTATATGTGAATAATATCTCCAGTGTCTTTGACTTCTGCCCCATACAGTGCACCAAATGGACAGTATAGTTTCATTTAAAAGTACTTCAATAGTTTTTTCTCTCATCTTTCTTTAGTGTGTGAACATGTACCCTGTTGAGGTCTTTAATTCAGACCTCAGTGTAAAGGCAAAATGATCAGTTTTCTTTAAGGCATTTGTCTGGAGCTCATAGCTATGTTACCAGAAATGTCATTGAGCCACTGTATTTGCTATGCTGATGGTATATTGAGTCAGTGTTTTTACTTCACAGAAAAAGGTTTGTAGATAATGTAGCAGAACAAAGGATGTAGTGCCAGCAAGGGGCCACAAACTTCATCTCATATGCTTTGTTTAGATGGTACCTTGTTTAGGTTTTTTAAATGAAGATGGAGACTGTATCTTGCAATCTGATATATATGAAGCAAGTGAAAGAGTATTTCCAGGATGTCCTTACTTGGGAGGGTGAGTCCTTTAAAGGTGGGGTGATGTGCCTTCATTGTGTTTCTATTCACCTGCACTGCATGACAGTCAGGGAAAATGAGACATTTTGTGCACATTCAGCTCTCCTGGAGGTCTTCCTGTCAATAAGCACTGAGTTTCAAATAGACTAGTAGAGTTATTAATGTATCACCAGCCTTTTACCAGGGAGCTAGAAAAATTCCCAGGAGAAATTACTGTAATAGCAGGAACTCAGATTGTAATACCCTCCATCTTGAAACTGTTTCAGCTGTTGGCAAGAATAGCAATGCACTTGGTATGGACAGAGAATGCAAATCTTCTCTACGTTAGAAAAGCAGATAATGAAGTTTGAAATTTGGAACAGATCTTATGTAGGCTTGCTGTCTGAATTTCCTGTGCTAATATGCAGTGTGGAACACAGAGGTTCCAAAGTGCAAAAAGAATATTTGGAGTCTAAAACCAATTTTTGGTTATTTGATTAATGTAAGATTATCACCTTGCCCTCTCTGTCTCATGTTCCCAGGTTCAACTGTGGCACAGGAGTTGGAGTCATAACGAGTGAAAACAAAATCAAGCTGGGGAACTGGCACAGTGTCACATTGTTCAGAGATGGGGTGAATGGCTGGCTCAGGATGGACAACAATGCTCCAGTGACAGGAAAATCTCAGGTTGGTAATACTGCCCTTGTGGCTTGATCTTGGAGTCTCTCAGGGTTGTGATGATGTTTCTTTTCTTGTCACCAGAAGCCTGATCAGACTTAAAAGGTATAGTTTTATTTATTTGTGTTAGGACATGTAGTGAACTAGGATCACAGTACAGATTACTCTTCCAAATACATAGTCTAGAAATCACAGAGATATATATCTCAGGGCTGAATTCCATCACAGTTTCCCTGTTGTACTCCACGTTTGCTCTGCCACCCTTCAGCTACCCTATGCCAGTCTCAAATACAGGCCATTTAACAGAAGTTTACTAGATTTTACAGTTTCTGTCCCTGATTGCTTTTTATTTTGAGCCTCAGAGAACTGCTCTTCTTCCTCAGACATAAAAACTAGATGCATATGTGTGTATGAGTATATATTTATGTATAATATGCATATATGCACACAAAATTTGTGTACAGAGGTGTAATTACATGCATATTCTGGACAAAGATTTAAGCATAGTAATGGAGATAGACATCCTGACTCTGCTCTGACTTATGTCAACACTAGCAAGTTCATACAAGGCTGACAATATAAAATATAATACAGGAAGGTGCTTTGACTTTCTTAACTGTTGCTGGGCTAGAAGGCAAAATTAAAGCACTGGAAGAAAAGGCAATTTCAAATTGTTTCAGATGTTTTTCCTTTGATAGCCACTATTAACATGCCATCCCTAGCTCTGAAAGAAAGCAACTTCAGATGTCTTATTACTTTACACTTTTATGTGCAGGCACTGAAGAGAAAAAATTGCAATGTATTGAGTTCTCATCAGCTGGAAATGACAGAGGAAAGAATTTCAGTGTGTCATGTATCGCTGTTACCAATGCTATGAGGCCATGCAAAGGGCAGATGTGAATCAGGAGAGATATGTACAGTTTCTGCAGTGTACTGTGCAAGTTTACACCTGCAGACTCAATAATCTCAGTTTATTTAGCCTGGTGCCAAATACAGACTATGGTGATAGAATTTATTGTTTTAAATGCTGTGGGGGCAGGGCAGGGCAGGAGTGAAAAATCCTGAAAGATTTTAGGCTAGAGGTCAGTGCTGTCAAAATCACAAGTTGGTAAAACCTGGCCCTGAATAACTGAGAATTTTGAATATTTTCTTCTAAAGGTTTGCGGGGTTTTGAAAGAGCTGTTGAGTAGGAGGCAAAAGTCATATTTTGATCAATTTGTGGAAGGAATTTTGCCTCAGTTGGCCATAGTTGCATGGAGTTTGTGTCAGTGGTCAAAGAAGGTTCTGTTGGTTTTGATATTTTTTTTTCTTTCACTGTAGCAATTTTAGTATATTTGTATATGTAAATTTCTATAGATTTGTTAAAGAGATGGGCAGTACATTTAGCAATGGCAAAGTGAGCAGAACCCTGCTGAAGTTGCAACTTTACTGGCTTTTGCCTTTTCTTTGTGTTTACCTTTTTTTAAATATTTTTTTTATTATTTCATAATTATTCAATACTGAACACTTGCTGGGTTCTGTCCAAAAGACAATATCGTAATGGTCCATCCCTCAGGGCTCACAGTTTAGAAGACAAACAATTTTTTGGCAAAAAGAAAGGAAGAAATTGCAGCAAAAGATAGACCATGGTTTCTCCTCCAAACAGTGATTTTTAGTCCTTTTTATTGTGCTTTTAGTAGATCATGTTATTGTGATGGGATGCAGGTTGATTTCAAATGGTGGGCTGATTTGGGGAATGCCTAACAGGAAGGAATTACCAATTAATAACCTACATATATATTCCCTGACACAGTTTTTCATTGAGGAAAATAATTGACTGTAAACCACTATGGCTTAATGTTGTCCTGTGTAATATGTTACACAGCATGCTGTGCTCTGCTCTCCCTTCAGGGCCAGTACAGCAAAATCACGTTCCAGACTCCCTTCTACGTTGGCGGCACTCCCAGCGTGTACTGGCTGGTCAGGGCCACCGGCACCAACCGCGGCTTCCAGGGCTGCGTCCAGTCACTGAGCATCAATGGAAAGATAATTGACATGAGACCCTGGCCACTAGGGAAAGCTCTCAGTGGTGCTGATGTTGGTGAGTTTAATGGTGTGGGGTCTTTAACCAGTGACTAACCCAGGGTTACTTTTTATCCTGTTGGGACAAATTGAGCGATGGTCCAGGTTTGAGAGGTGGAAGGTGCGGTCTCTATTTTTGGCCTGGTTTTCCTCTGTTCCTTTGCACATTGCTCTTGCTGGGTCTGTAGTAGGACAATTCATCACAGTGCACAAGCAAGCCCTTGTGGACACAGTGTGCACAGTAAATAGTAAACCCATTTTCATGAGAGAACAGTAAGATCTGTGTTGCAGATATCATTACAGCCGTGCTGGTATTTCTGCCAGCAGCAGAAATACCAGCCCTGACTGACACAGTCATGTCATCAGAAATCAATAGAATGTATGCTGAGCTTGCATTTGAAACAATACAAACCCAACAAGATCAATTTTGCCTAAAGACATCATTGCATTTGTCCAAAGTAATACATGGATCTCTCAGGCCCACAGCAGCCCTGTGGATCTTGCAGAGGGCTTCCTTTGTTACACCCAACCACTGCTGAAGCATGTAGGCTTTCCTGTATACCATCGTTTGTTTTGCTATCCAGAGCCATGGTATGATTTAAAAAGAGCTTGGAATAAATACTTGTAGCAGCTTTATGAAGTGTGATGATAAAATTATTTTCCCTTCACAGGGTAAAAGATGGAGAAGTGGGAAAGTTAATTAACTAGTCCTGTCTTATTTATTCATCTATTTTATCCTTTTAATCGGCACTTGAAAAAAGGCAGGGCAACAAATTTCTTGCTTTAATGATCTCCCAGTCTAAACAATAACAGAATAAGGGAAAATCTGAGACAGAAGGCAAGTGCTAACAGCTATAAATAGATTCCATACCACTGAACTCTCCCTGCCATGCTTCAGCCACAAAGTCATCTTTCTTCTCTTCTGTAGCTATGCATTTGACATCCCAAGAAGGAAATTATTTATGAGAAACTTCTTAACAATTGCTCTTTTTTTTTCTAGATAACATGGCCAAACATCTGTGCAATATAGGGGTAGAACAGACTGGCCAATGAAACAGTTGCTGAAAAGAGTAAGATTTTAGAATCATGTAATTTCATGATAGAGTGAGAATCTGTGGACTTTAGATAGGTGAAAGCCCTGCTGAACTTCTCTAGTCCTAGTTTTTATTGCCTTTTGGGATACAACTAGTTTCATTCCCATCCGTGAATGCTCCACATACTACTTGCATTAACAATAAACATCAATAAAAGTAAATGCTGTGCTCTGCCATATGTGACTCAAAACTGACTGATAAAGCCTTGCTGTCCTTGTATGACTGCATACATTTATATGAAACTATACCAGAAGAGACTTGCAAACAATAGGTCATGCAAGTATAACTTAAAATAAAAAAATTGGAAGTAAACTCTGCTAGAGTTTAGGAATGACTCTCGTGATTCAGTGACTTGGGGATTCTTTTCTGTTGGCACAGTATATAAATCAGGAGTGCTGTGCTACATGGATCACAGAACTGAGGATGGCGAGGAGAGCGGTACATCCTCCTCTCTGCTCTCTCTTCTGGCTACAGCAGAGGTCCCACTGTGAGCTGAGGGACAAACAGAAGAGATACTGCGCATGGTTTGGAATGGGCATGGCAGGACCTGGGACTGCTGCTGCAGCTGCTCTCCTTCATCTCCATTGGAGCAAAGTAAATGCAGCTACCACACTTGTGGTTTGCGTCTTCAGCATAGTAACCTGTGCTGGCCCAAAGGCTGTGAAAAGCCACTGGGACATTGGGAGACCAGCCTGTCCTTAAATATCAAGACTACTCCAGTTCAAGATGTTTTTCAAATCAGGGATCCCATGACTGGTCCCGTTGCTGTTGTCTTCCTTGTTCTTTTCTGTTTCTCAAAGACTTTGTTTAATTTTGATCTGCTTGAACATCTGCCAACATTAACACTGGAGCAGATGCAGCAAAGATGAGCATTGTCTTGGTTTTCTGTTTGTGTCTTCACGCTTGATCCATAGAGATCCTTGTTTACATGTCTTGGTTCTGTTTCCTTGCTTATAAAACAGAACTAGTGCTGCTCTGTCAGTGTCACAATAATTGGGGAATAGATGAGGGATCTGAGGGACAAGATACCTGTCCTGCCTTGGTTCACTTATGGCCATTACAGTGCAGGCCAGAAGAGGCAAAGACACCTCAATGAACACAGCCAGCACCCCATATCCCATGTCTGGGCATGGTGCAGAACTGTCCCCTTCCATGGAAAAGGAGCTTTTTTCCCCTGCTGTTTTGTCTGTGCTCCTCAGGTCAGCCCTGGAGTCCTGTGTCAGGCTGCTGTACCCAGACCTGCCCTCCATACAATGAAAAGTTGTTCTGGTAGGAGATTTGTAGATGTGCAATACACAATAAGTCTGGTCTATCAAGGAGTTGTACCTGATGACCTGTGAGTTGTAACTGCTTCTGCCCTGAGTTAGTTAGAAAAGGTTGTTTTCTACTGTGGAGAGCAGAGTGATTGGGATGGACCAGCACATCAGCTATTTGTATCTGCATATTTGTTTGTGGTTTCTTTTCTGGCTTTGGGATGGGAATTTAAACTGTAAAACTGGTGCTGTACAAACTTCATGAAATGTGTAGAGACCTGCTCTTGAACTATCAGTGTTAGGTTTGGACAAAAAAAAAAACAAAACAAACAAACAAAAAAAAACCAACAAAAAAAACCCCGTATCTGCTCCTTGCAATAGTTTTCAAGACTTCTCTTAATCACCTCAAGTTGCAAAACTGTTTCTCAAGTGTTTATTGCCAAACTGCCTCATGAAACCTTTGTCATCTCAGAGGTGATACGCCAATGTCCCTCAAAATAAATGTGTTACTTCTTAGTTTGCTATAAAACACTAAGCCCCTCCAGGTGGTGTGCTTACCATTATACAACTTGGACTTCCTTAATGTATACTGATAATGTAATTGGTTTGTTACTATTGACAAGGGGAGAGTTATTTAATCAGAAACTAAAGGAGAAAATAAATTAATCAAGAACTTCAACCAGGTGTGCATTTCACAGTTGTATAGTTTGGCTTTATAGATATCAGTTTTAAGAAGCAAATGAGAATTTATTTGTTCTACAACAATTTCAGCTAAAATCCAGAAAGAAGAAATAACCTCTTTGTTATTTAAGTTGATATGCCAGCATAGTAGAGATGCTGCTTAAAAAGCCCATATGTTGATGATATGGATCCCTTTTAGTGAGGACAAGAGAGTAGACAACCTTATTTTGGCTAACAAGATTAGTTGATGATGATTAACACCTACCATGATCAGCATGGCATGAATTTATAGTGAACAAAGAAGCACTTAGGAAAATTGAAATTAAACCAGACTTGGTGAATGTAAACAATTTAGAAATTTGTATCTTATGAGAAAATAGGAAGAAGAGCAGACAATAAGTAATCCAAGGAATGAGCGAAAGTTGCATCTCTCATGGTTTGCTTGTAAGGGCTACTTTTTGCTATTTATAAAATCTCTTGATGGTCTGATATTTTAAAAATGCTAATAATTGAGTTCCTTGTCTAAATTGCACACCATTTGACAAATTAGGAAAGAATCTAGGAATAAGAGCAAATTGTGTTGGTTACTAGCAGCGATCAACAGCCAAATAAATCTGTGACAAACTTCCCCGATAAACTGATGGTCTGACACCTGCATTTAGGTGAGTGCAGCAGTGGCATCTGTGATGAGGCAGCCTGCATCAACAGTGGTACCTGTACTGCAAGCAAAGCAGACTCTTATATTTGCCTTTGTCCTCTGGGATTTAAAGGCCATCATTGCGAGGAAGGTGAGTGGATATTGGGATACCTCTATTTTTTTGTGTGCTTTATTTAGTGTTTGATGTGTTTTCCACTTAGAGACACCCAAGGAGGTCTCATGCTGTTACACTGACAGAAGAGAATACTTGTTATTTCATCTTTTTAAAGTCACATGCTGAACCCTTCCCTTCCCTGGATGAAGCTTTGGAGCTTCATCCAGCTCCTACATAATCAGTGATTCTCAAACCTCTTTGCTTTTTAACCTAACTGCACTCAAGCATCTTGACATTTCTATTCAGAAGTTAAAATAATCTACTACTCCACAGCTGCACATTAATCCTAAAAAATACCCACCTTTCTCCTAAAACCAGTGTCAGTTGTATATTTTGAAATGTAAAGGACACAATTTTAATTGCCTGCTAATATCAGAGATACAAGTAGTGAAATACATATGGCATTATTTTTTATGCTGTAGATATTTTCATGCCACCACCCACTGTGTGCATGCTAGCTACTTTGAAAGGCACTATTATGAATCACTAAAGAAAAGGTACAAAATGCTTTACAGTACAGACACATACTGTATTTGTAGATGAAAAAGGAATGGATTAACCAGTATTGGGTAGGATTATAAAATATTTTTAATTTAGATGAAAAAAGAATCATCAGGTTGTTTTGCTAGGCACTAGCTTAGTTAATGCAAGGAACAGACATTGGTTGGTAAGAGTCAATCCTTTATGTTTGAACCTCAAGTGACCTGCTTGTGATTTCTGGATTTCCAGCACTCACCTTGGCCATACCGCAATTCAACGAATCCTTAAGATCATTTGCTAGCACACCCTGGCCCTTGGAACCACAGAATTACCTTTCCTTCATGGAGTTTGAGCTGACATTTCGTCCAGATTTAGAGACTGGTGTCCTTTTGTACAGCTATGACTCAGACAGCAAGGACTTCCTCTCCATTAACATGGTGGCTGGCTACGTGGAGTTCAGGTTTGACTGCGGCTCAGGAACAGCTGTTATCAGGTAAATGGTGCTGCTTGTGTTTCCTTCCCAACAGTGCCACAGTGCTGATGCAGGAGAGGAGTGGATTGGAAAAAGTCACAGCCTATGATGAGGTGTGCGAGCCCCTTGGCCTCTTGTGCCTTGTTCTAGGGAAGCACAGAAGCACCAAAATTTTGGTCAAGGGGATGGGATTTTCTTCCTACATTAGTATGTTTCAAAGCTTTGTGCTTTGTCTTACTGTAGATGTTACATTTGTGTCTGTATGGTATTGCAATAATTCCCTTCTTGGCCCTATGACACTGCACCATAGCTGTTTAGGGGATCTATAAATATTTTATGCATATATTTCTAGCCACAGGATTTTACAGTATTGGCCCTTGTGTGAGCATCCTCCTTTCTGGTTTCCAGTTCCAAGCAGGTGTGTCAGGCTGGAGGTGGCACAAGAAGATATACCTCCAGGTCCCTCCACTTCCTCATAGTGCTGTTTTTTGAGGGACCTGAGGCTACTATCCAATGTATACAATGTAAGCTGTCTAAAACATAAATATGTAGTTTAACCTGGTCACGAAGGCTCCCTGGACAGACCTTCTGCAAGTGACTCATTGCATTCTAAAATTAATGGATAGGAGGATAGAAGCAATGAAATGCCTCAAAAATACTGCTCTCTCCCTCTGTGTAACTGAGTAGCCAGTCACTGGGCAACTGTTCCTGGGCTTTCTGAAAAGGCACTGGGCTGAACAGAGGCACTAAGTATCTTGGATATGGCCAGGGGGCTACCAGTTTGACCAGGGTGACCTGATATTTAGAAATTATTAATATAAAGCTTATGCAAAATGTGTACACTGTCTGCAAGTCTTGCATACCAGTGATTCCTGTGGATGGGCATCAGGAATTTTGACTATACTGTGATTAGGGAAAATGTACTGATTTTACAATGAATGAGGACTCAAGCAAACAAACTCATTCAGTTTTGCAGACAAAATTAGATATGAAATATAAAGGGAGCAAATGCAAAATAATGCACAAGCCTAACAATGCACAGCTGTGGAAAAACAGTCATTGTTGTCAGATAAAGATCCTGGAGTTGTCATGGATAGCTCTGTGGAAGCAACAGCAAACTGTTTAAAGACAAATACAGAAACATAAGTACAATGCAGAGAATTATTAGGAATAAGGAAGAATTTCTCTGCTGAAACCCACAGCACCATGTCTTGAAAACTTACTTGTTATTCTGGTCACATAATTTCAAAAGAAATTAGCAAAATTAAAAAGGAAGAGCAGTTTTGACATCCAAGAGAGGGAATGAAACATCTTCCACAAATCTCTTCCATAGCAGGACCTTTCAGCCTGGAAAATAAAGAGTTTGTTGGGAGTATGATAGAGGTTTTAAAATAATGAATGGCCTGTAGATTAATGAGTATTCTGTATTTTTTCAATATGCAAAGAAGATAAGGAACCAAAGAAAATGAGACTTTTTTTCTTTGGGTGTGGTTTTTTTTTTTTTTTTTTTTTTTTTTTTTTTTTTAGAGGAGTACATAAATAAGTTGTGGAAACTCATTGTCACAGCAAGTTACAGATGCCAAAACTATAAATAGGTTAAAAAAAATTGAACAAATTTGAAGAAAGCTCCATTGAGGGAGATCAAACACAGTTGTATGGATGCAGCCTCTGACTCAAGAAATTGCTAAATGACAAGTTGCCAGAGGCTGAAAGGATATATCAAGGGAAGAATCACTTCATACTTGCCCTATTCTCTTGCTGAAAAGTGGCAGAAATAGCTAATTTTGGAGACCTTTTCTCCAATTCAGAGAAACAACAGCCCTCAATCTTTACTGATTGCAGCTTTCTAATTCTTGTTACTGGCAACAGTAAAATATTAAAGTAGAATTTTTTTTTCTTCCAAGAATATTGAAGCACTTCAAAACGCCTTGTACTAAAGTTTAACTGATATTAAGGTTATGAAATGTAGAGAGAGCTACAAGCATATGCCTGGGAGTAGAAGCTGCCCTTTCTGTTGGAAAGCAGAAGGACAAGCTGGAGGTACTGCCTGAGGTACATGCATTGGAGGAAGAGTGTGGTGAGATAGCTGAGTAATGGGCAAGGCTCAGGACACCATCAGGATTCATTGAAAGTTGTTAGGCTCTCCTGTTAGCTCTTTTTCTAGATAAAATGTGCAACTCACACCCCATCACCAGCTCTGTCAGTGATTAAATATGACAAATAGATTGCCTCTTTTTCATGCCTGCTTGGTCAATGTCCATATTACATCAGGCCTACACTGTGTCTTTAGCAGGGTTATATCTCTGGTCATCCTGATAGCTCTGCCTGATACCTCTGCCACCAGGCTGTTAGATATTATATTCTAATCAGAACACAGCCATAATAACTAGGATGAGGCAAGCTTATTTGTGTATATCAGTAGCAGCAGCAGGAGAGCTGATGACGGTGAAGGTTGTGATTTCCTGATGTATCCCTGGATGGAATCGGCACAATGTGCTCTGGGGGCTTCACAGGCGGAAGGGATGCTGAGTGGATGGCCAGATGCAGAGCCTGAGCACTGAAATGTCTCAGAGGAAAAGCTGTTGGGATTTCCCTTGGCCAAGCAGGATCAAGATCTTCATGATCTGGTATATTTTTTAAGCTGTGGTTTACATGGGAAAAAGTAACCCCACACCACATGAAGAGCCAGGAGTGCTCAAACATAAGAAGAAAGTGTTACCAAGGTCATGTTGGTTTCAAAAAGCCCACAAAAGAGCTTACAGCTCTGAAGTGATGACTCTGCAATGCTTAATCATCCCTGATTGTAATTAAATCTAGCAATGCAGGAGGATGATGCAAAGCATGATGATGACCTAAGCAGCAGAGGAGATGTTTGTATTGCCACTTACTATGTAGCCAAACCTATCTGGTTCCTTTGTATGTGTATGTTGACTTCTTCAAGGTGATTAGATTTCCTTAGCTATTGATTTGCCCGAAACAGTTAAACTCTAAATGGTGTTACATAAGAAGGAGGACAAGTGACTGGCATTGCTTGATAATATTTTTAATTGAGGTTTTATGAACCAAGTGTCATTCAGAAGAGTCAATTAATACTGCCACCATCATCAAAATAGACAAAAATGAGCTTTAAGAAAATTTGAAGGATAAAAAAAAAAAATGACAGAAAAGTTTCAAAACTTATCTTGATTGTTAAGAAAAAGAAAACATTATTTTCACATTTTCAAAATTATATAAGTTTTTTTAATCAGCATTTGAATCACTATTGACTCACTATTTCAGATTACAATTTTTTTCTATTTGTTTTAATTTCAAAATGTGGGGGGTTTTTGTTTGTTTTTAAATGCAGTACTTGAAAATACAAAACATGATTTCATCCCCAGGAATCATGTATTTTTTCACTGAAGCTAGCAAGTCTTAGTGGTCCTAGATAACACAGTTCTAATTTTTCCAGCTTGGCTAGTAAATCAAACACAAGTTTCCAGTCCTCCTGGAGGAAAGGCAGCTACATCTCATTTAGATATAAATGCTTTAACCTGAGTAGTTAAATGACATTTGAAAACAAGATACAAAGATCTATAGGACTTGTGAACAGGAATGTGGTTTTGCCATTCATACAAGCTGCTATTCATATTAGTACTGTGCCAGTAAAGATTGTAAGAACTGTTTAAAAATGCTTCCTTTGAGACTGATGAATATTTTGTACAACTGGGAATTATTCTTCCTAGCCAAGATCTCATCACATCATTAGGATGATTTTTTAATTACTTCCCTTTTATGTACATCATCCAGGCTGCATGTGTGTGTGTGTAGATGTCAATGTAACAGGATGTATAAAAAGAGCTGATAAGCCAACACAAAGTAGTTCTGTTTTAAAAGAGGATTAAGAATGTGGGGCTAGACCAACCATTAAATGGGAAGCTGTTAGTGAAATGAGGATGTACAGCTGAGACAAAAACTCCTTTTTATGTGTTATAAATGACTGAGCAGAAAAACTAGCACAGAGGTAGCTAAAGTGTGTGCTGGCAATAGTGTTTCATTTATAAATAAAACTAGAGTGCTTGTTATTTGCTCTAGAAATATGGTCTTTGCTGATGGGGCTCAAAAGATTGTTACTTCCTTATAAGGGAAGAATCACAGTGGCTGATATTTATTTTTTATTTAGAAAATCATCCCAGAAGATTTGACTTTTTAACATTACAGAGTATCAGAAAGGCACAGTGTTACATACTTGAAAATTTTCTTGCCCGTAAAACAGGAGTGAAGAACCTGTCAGCCTGGGTCAGTGGCATGAATTGCGAGTGTCTCGCACGGCAAAGAACGGTATCCTGCAGGTGGACAAACAGAAGCCAGTGGAAGGGATGGCAGAGGTGAGCTCATGGCAGACTTGTCTTGAACGCAGCTGTTGGACTGCAGAGCCTGCTCTCAAAATTCTTACTAGCTTAAAACAGTATACACATTAGGGCAACATTTTCTTAAGCCCAGAGTTGGGAATTTGTGCGTAAGGCTTTCCCTCTGAGGATGAGGATATTGTAAAGGATCCCACTGGAATCTGACTGTACCTGCTCCTGACACGTAACTGGACTCTTGTTTTTGTGTCTGGCTCGTATATCTTTCTGAGGTTTTTTTCTTGGTTCTCGTGGCTAAGTATGTTGAACAACGTGTGCACTATGAGAGGTGCAATTTGGAGAAGTATCGTGCTGAAAAGTACGTGTCCAGTCTTTTTTTACCTCTTGCTGAATGTTGTCCTGGAAAGATAGGCCTGAAGACAATTGTCTCTTTGTCTTCTTGCAAAAGTAGTTTGCAGGCCAGAGTAAGGGTGGGAACAATTAGGCAGTTGATGATTTGCTTTTTTGTTCTTCACTCACCAAGTGATCATAGAGAATCAAATTTATAATAAAGTGAAACTGTACTTGTACCAAGCAGGATATTCACTCTCAGCACTTACATGCCTGCACAGAGGCATTTTCTGTCTTGATAAAAGCCAAGGCTAGACCAAATAGGAACCAAAAACACACCACCACATCGACCTGCTTAGGAAATGTCTTTAGTGGAGAGTGCAGACAGAAAAACAGACTCCATATACCATAGCAGAAAAATGCCATAGCAGAAAAATTCCACAGCAGGCTTTTCAGCAATCTGGGAAACTTTTATCAAAGCTGTGACTTTTCTTCAAAAAATTAAATAATTTGAAATTCCAATTGTCTGTCAGGGAACAAATTGAGTGAGCAACATTTGTCTGGAGCTCTCAAGACTTCTTTAGATAGATGGGTTAAGGTGAACATTCTCATTTTTTTCCTCTTAAGTGCTGCAGTGCAGTGCTCCAGGAGGAGGGTGGCTGGGACTGCCAACCATGAAAGCACAGAAGCTTCTGCTGGACTGGAGTACACAGTTATTCTGTCTTTAGCTGTTAAATGTCTTTCAGTTTACTCCAGAACCCTGAATATTCCCATCAGGTATCCTGAGCAACTGCTTCTGGTAATTGATGCAAATTCAATGTTTCTTTCATTTAGCCCCATAACTTACAGTAGGTTATCTCTTAGATTTTGGAAATACTAAATGAGTCTCTACTGCATGAACTTTGCTCTGATTTTAGCTTTATGAACCTAATTCTGGTTATAGACTTACATCAGTGTACCTCAAGTCTTTGCAAATAAAGCTAGATATGCAGTCAGAAAACACAATGGATCAGTTTCCTTTCTTTCTTCCTCCAGTATTGCCATTTGAAGTACCTGAGATTTTTCAGCTACTTAAGACTGGGATAATGTAAAGTCAGTCAAGAGTGTCCTACAATGGCTTTCTTGATTGTACAAAGAAGAGGCATTGAAATAAGCTATAACATCTAATGTAGGGCTATCACAATTCATGTAGGCTAATCTGAAGATAGAAGCATGGTTCCAGCTACTCTGATAAAATGTTATTCTTTGTTTCTTGCAGGGGGCTTTTACACAGATTAAATGCAGCTCTGAAATATTTATTGGTGGAGTCCCTAATTACGATGATGTGAAGAAGAACTCTGGGATCCTCAGGCCCTTCAGTGGGAGCATCCAGAAGGTGTGTGCCCAGAGAAACACACTGTGGGCATTTATTTCCATTGTATCCATGCATCCGTGCAAACCTGTTGTTATTCAACTGCCAATATTCAAAATAATCAAGGATTTCACCTCAGGAGCTCACCATGAAGTGGTTAAATTATTGTTTCACAGTGAAAAGTCCACCTAGTGTATTCTTACACCACCATGGAGATGCACACCATAATGCTTTCCCCTCTTACAATTTTATATGGGGCACATGAATGGAGGACAAGTTTTCCATTGTTAGCAGACATTAGGGATGATGTTCCCATGTCAGCTAAGCGTGAGCGCAGTTCATATCAGACCTAGTAAATAATCAAATGAAAGTGCAAATTGAACTTATATTTTTCTTTCTAAACATACTTAAAGTAACTTGGATAAAGTTGAAAGGTTGGCCCTCAATCCTCACAGTTTTAGAGGAGTGAATTGCATTAGATTATAGCAACAAAATAACAAATAAAACCAAATCTTTAGTAATAGTTTTTATTAAAAAAAAAATTAAATCTCTATAGTTAACAATTGCTCCAAGACAGAAAAGTAATTGTAGTTCAGTGTAAATGGTTTAATTACTCAGTCTGACACTTTTTACTGTCTTTGTTAGGTGTCTAGCAGAAAGCATGAAGTTCAGGAAAACTGGGGGAGTGAGTAATAGTGATGGTAACAGGTCAAACACATGAACATCAGTCAGAAGGTAGACTTGACTAAACACAATGTATTTTGGGATGCAAGATAGAAAGCCTAGAGCAATTAACACAGGTTACAATTACAAGGTGAGGGGTTGTACAATAGACTGAAGGCACTGTTAAGTATTGGGAAATGCAGAGTGTGAGCCTTTATTTCTATGATGTACTTAGTAAGATGGATTTTTATTCTCAGAGTCATGAATACGTTATCAAGGAAAAGTACTGCCTGCCTTTTGGTCACTGGGAACATTTGGTTGCCTTCTTTACACATAGTAGGATTTTGGAGAACTATACAAAGTTCTAGTTGGAGAAATAGAGCTGCAAACATCACCAAGTACTGGAAAATACGTTGTGTATATAAAAAACTAAGAACACAATACGTTTAGTTTTGTTAGATAAGGCTGAGAAGTGACTTGTGGTTTTCTAGTTCATAGATGAGGATGAAATTTCTTTGGATACATGGTGATGGAATTATGCAGAAAAAGACATGATGAGGAACAAGGGCTGGGAACTGAATATAAGTTTAAAACAAAAGACATATTTTTATAAGCGGAGGCTTATTAACTTCTGGAACAAAATTCAGAAAGAAGCTGATAACATAATGGAGTCTTCCCTGGTCCATTACATGACAGCACTGTATGTTTTTTTCTACTGTTAGAGTTGTATTGTGCTTTATGTCACCTCTTCTCTGGGTTGGGTCTCCTAAGGTGCATTGTCTGAGTTGTGCAGGAGCCAGAGCAACTACTACCTTTCTCAGTTCTGCCCTTAAAATATATTATATGTTAAGATGCACTTATTTTGATGTAGCTGAGACCGGATGCTGTGCCTGCATGCAATTTCTCTTGCTGAGATGTCAGCTGAGATTATACAAATGTTGATTTATTTTGGAGAACATATGCTGCTGACATATTGGAAAAATCCCAGCATTTAGCAGTTCTCTTCCATTTATATACAAACAGTTTTGTGAAGTCATTATTTATGTTTTCCATTCTTCTTAACTCTAGCTTCTTTCAGGCAAGATGAGATACTAGAAAGCAATAGAAAATGTGAAAACCAAGCTATTCTGCTTAGTATTTATGTTGTCAACACTCATCTCCTGAGGGGTTTTCTGATGTCAGAAATGCTTTTCTTCAGCAGTGCTCATCTAATTTTACCATCCCAGCTCATGGTTCAGCTACAACCAGTGTTGGACCAGTGTTCAGGCACAGGCCTGGTAAATTCCACCCAGCTTCACCCTTTACAGGGGTTGCCTCAGGCTGTTTCACAAGACATAAAAGAGATTAATCTCCAGTGGGTCAGGAGGAGCAACAGTTGGACCTCTGCAACTGGAAAACACACAATAATAGGGTTTGAGCCAAGTTTTGAGAGTTACATTTCTCTGAAGCTTTTCAGAGGAATGTTCTAACTAGCAGTAGGATACTCTGGATTTGGAAGTTTTAACATTGTCTTTGCACACCTTTTTTTTTTTTTTTTTTACCACATAGATTATCTTGAATGACCGGACAATTGATGTGAAACAGGATTTCACTTTTGGAATCAACCTAGCAAATGCTGCCCATCCCTGTGTGACCTCACCATGTGCAAATGGAGGCACCTGCATTCCCAAGAAGGACAGCTATGAATGTGACTGTCCCCTGGGCTTTGATGGACAACATTGCCAAAAAGGTAACTATCCAATGTCTGGATATCAAGCCAGTGATCTGGATCTGATCACAAAAATAAGGAATATTTAGCACCTACAACTGTTGCTGTACACATGCCTTTAAATAGAAACCCTGGAGGCCAGAGCTCCCCTTTCGTCTGTGCACTTTCCATGTATCCAGGGAAGAATTTGTTTTGTAATTTAGGAATGTGGTAACTGTTATCCCAGCACGGGGCTAGGATCCATAGATAGCAACCTGGTATCTGGTTGCTTGTGGTGAGCGGCACTGAATACTTACACTTCATGCACGTCCCTAATTGTGCAGTGCTGTGTACAAAGGGGGAATTCCAGCCAGATTCCTTCAGCCAGCAGTTAGGTTACATCCTGAAGCATGAGCATGGATAACCCTTGTAATTTTATCCTCCGTACAGCTGACAGCAAACGCTGTTCTCACACACAGAAAGGTCTACTCCTACTTTAGGCACTGGCTACTCTGATGGAATTTCACCATCTTTAGAGATCCTTCCTTGGTGGGGCAAAGGAGACCACCAAGGAGGAAAACTCATCCATGTGCACATTACTCTCTTTTCTTCAGAGCCACTGTAATACTTCAAACCTTAGATTCTAGAAAGGGATAAGATTGCAAGAAAAGCGTTTAAAAACTCCACTTTGGGTTATTCCACTAGATGGAGTCGTTTACCTTCTGTCAAGCTTGATCTCAAAAAATTCCTGAGAGGAAGTTTTGTAATGTAACAGTAAACTCGGTTCAAAAGAGCTGGCTGACATTATTGTCTTCACCCACTGCTTCACTTCTCACAGTCATAAACTTCAAAGTTAAATGTAGTGGTTTTGGTTAAATTGCAATGAATATATTGGCCTTTTCTTCAAAATAGACAATATCTTAGAACAAAAGCATTATAATAAAATGCAATGTAAGAAACCCCTTTGCTTACGTTGTTGTGGTCTAACTAATGTCATTTACCTTGGCTTTTCTGTAGGGAGGCAGGAGAACTGGGATTTTGACTTTCTAGGTATGTGCAGAGTGCTAAATTCCTGACATCAAGATGGTATCTGCAGCAGTACAACACATCTCCAAGGGCAATCATTGTAGAGAATGCTTTGCAGCCTGAGTGTGTGCCTGTCCCTTTGGTGTGCAGTGCTGGGGCCACAGCTCCTCACCTCTGCTCAGCTCCTGGCCTGTGCTGAGCCCAGGGAGCAGTGTCTGAGCTCATGGTGCCAGCAGTGGTGCCACTTGGCTGGCATGTCCTTCCTTTTGTCACCTCAGTGGGTGTCCAGGATTTCAGACACAGTCTGAAGCACCATTTGGCTGTGACTTAGCCAGATCCTGGGTGCTGCTTCCTATGTGAATCTAATCTTTATTAATTTTAAGGGTGTCCAAAAGCATGAACACAGAACCTGGTTTCTGTTCCTGATACCTGTGGCTCCTATTCAAATGCAGCTCAACCTCTTTGCACTTGTGCAGCCTCAGCTGCCACCAAAAATTGAATGGTTTTCTGATAGATGTGCAGAGAGCATGGAATTGCCCCTGAACCTCAGTCTATGACAGCCTTGATGAAAACCACCTGAAACAGATTACTCAAAATAATCCTTATCTGTGTCTCTGTTGGGGTGTAAATATTGTTAAGGTGAGATGCTCGTCTGTGTCCACTTCTGTTTCACAACAGGGTCTTGGTTAGTGCACTCAGAAGGTATGTGAGGTGAAGGTGCTGTCTCCATTCTTCTTGATGGTAGGCTGCTGTAAAAAAAACCAAAAAGCAAAGTGCTTTTGAGGCAGTGCACCTCATTCTTCAAAATTACACACAACACTTAAAAACTCAAGTAATGCTGGCATGAGCCATATGAGATATTGATTCATATTGTAATGGATCGTTAGCTGAAGATTCAATAGAGTTTTTGCTGGCATTGCTAGGTTTTATATCTTCTGTCCAAGCCTGGGGAGTGCTAAAGGTATTTTTATACTTTAAGATGGAATAGAACAGAAAACACTTGTTTTCCCTTGGCTAGAGCTGATCCCTGGGTAAAACCTGGTGAGTCATTGAGATTTGACAAGCAGGACTAGAAGAAGGATTTGCTGCTGGTCCCATCTGTCTGTGTTTTGAGCGGACAAATATAGATACTTGGAGCAAACCAATAATGAAAACAGTATTACCTTCACAGGTGATTGTAGTCACTTATGCAAATAGTAGGTGGGAGATTACACATATGCAGAAAAGTGGGCCTGAAATTGGACTAGAGGAGATTTTTCTGCTTCAGAATAATAAACCCAGAATGTCTTTGTTTTTTTTTGTGCTGACTCACTGCAGAGTGTGGAAGTTACTGCCTAAACAGTAAGTACTGCAAATTATGTGAAAACTGCTCAGTCATTGTGTGTTTGTCTAGATGTTGTGTCTCCATTAAGCCTGGAAGGTTTCTGTCATTAAGCCAAAATATTTTCTAAGGTTATATAGTACTTCCTTAAACATTGTGCTGTTGATACTTCAAACTGCATTTGCCAAGCTCTGAACAGTGGCACTAGAGCTGGTCCCAGTACTTGCAGAGCAGTGGGCCATGCAGCTGGCTCAGGGTTTTGTGGTGTGACTTCAGGCTACCTTGCAGTCCAGAGCTCACTTCTACTTGGCATGAGAGCTTTGGTGCTTGTCTGCTGAATTGTGATGAGCAAAGAATGAAGGTGTGTAGTCCTAGATCTCCTTACTGGATCTGCTCCCTTCCAGCTGCAAAAATCCTGGCTGCATCAAGGGTACTGCTAAAATTTGCTTGTTTTTCTGCACTCAGATTCAGTGAAACAAACAAAGAGCAAGCAGAGGTAAGTGCCCATTAAGCTCTCTAGAGAAAATCTGAGTACTCTGGCACAGGCAAAGGTTGCTGCATGACATGGGCACCTTCCCCTGCTAAAGGCAAGAGTAGTGGGGCTCTAGGGCAGGATGTGATGGGGGAACAAGGGCTCCTTTCATGCTCTGCTGCCATCAGACACTGTCCAGTGCAGGAAGTGTCAGACCTGCTGAGGAATGTTTGGCCAGTGTAACACAACTTTTGCAATCTTCCAATGACATTGGCAGACTGCAGGCTGGACATGGCCTGTGCTGGTTTCTTTAGACACATTAGTCAGCTTTCCTGATTTCACTATGGATGAAAACAGTCATTCATCACAATCTAAAATTCTCAGTCTTGGCACCTAGAGCTAAATTTCTTATTGCTGTTGCTGACTGCCAGACTACACCAATTGTTATATATTTGTGTCACAGTGAGCTCTAAAAGCCCAGACAGACCCTGTGTTGCATAAAAAGAGCAAGCATCTTTGCCCTGGAAAGCTTGAAATTTATATAGATGTGATTAGCTGTGGATGGAAGGGATTATTCCTCAGTAAGAAAATAGGATGAAGGCATCTATTTTAAGTAATTTATACAACTGGCTTATATTAATGCAGCAGTTAGTTATGGGAAATCAGCAACAAACTGTAGGATGTTCACTCAACAAAACATTTTGTTTGGGCCGGTGCTCATAGCCCGGTAAAGGGCTCTGTATCAGGGATGTTCTGTGGTTTATGTCACACAACTGAGTTATTTTGTCAAAGTCTCCTCCGTGGGCAGCAGTGCACCAACTCCAGTTCTGGCTGCAATGTTTGCCACTGTCCCAGCCATACACCACAGGGACTGTCCCTAGAGAAATGCTGTATGGGGGACACAGAAAATGACCCCAAGGCTGCTCTGCAGTGTTTAATACAGCAAAGGGCTCCACAGCCTCTGCCATGCAGCCTTTAGCATTGTCCCAGTTGTTTTCAATAGACTGAAGTGATCTGGGACTCTGGACTCTGTAACTCTCTGTTCCCTGGAGATAGCCTGACGCCCACTGCACCCTCACAGGGGTGAGCTGTGAGAGGCAGCAGCCGCTCAGTGCAGTCACAGACACTAAAAGAGAAAAGAGGGAGCTCACAGGTTGTGTGTGCTGCCTCTCAGCCTCCCTTTGCAGGATGAGAGGTCCCTAATGTGACCTGCATATGGTTCTCTGTTAGCAGCTGGGGAGGAGTTTCTTAGTCTATAAACAAAGGTGGTTAATGCATAAGCTTTGGCAGGAGGGAGCATTGAACCACATAGAGAACTAAGGAATGTGGAAATGGGGGTAAAGAGAAAATTTGCAACGTTTTCCCAATGCTTCATAATTTTCTGCACTAACATTTGTGGTGGAGCAATATGTTAGGCTCCTGACATAGGGGCTGTAACAGAGGGACTGTCAGCCATTTAAACTCCCTTAACTACTGCCCCTGCATTTAGGTAAAATCTGGCAGTGCCTTTTTGCAAAGCCGTGTGGGTTCAGCTCTGTTCTGTGCCACTGGTAGGTACCTGCCACTGCAGGAGTAAATCAATAAAAGAGTCTTGTCTCCTTTTTCCCTTCCATTTCCAAGTCAGCTGACACTCATCTTCATTTTTTTGTATTTACTTCTCAGCTATTACAGAAGCAATTGAAATCCCACAATTTATTGGTCGCAGTTACCTCACATATGATAATCCAGATATCCTGAAAAGGTAATGTATCTCCTTTGGACCTAAGTATTCTGTTTCTTAAACATTGTAATGTTAGGAGCCTTATGTGAGAGAGTGTAGTATATGTACATGTTTTAAGCTGTATTTATAATATTTCTAACTGCATTTTTCCATATTTTTAAATTTCAGGGAATAGTACATTTTAAGGGCATATCCTTGTGGATTAGTTTATTATACTTGAGCATCTTGCAGCCTATCAAGAAATAGCATACCTATGTCTGGCATGGAGAGAGACTGGTTTTTTCCTGAGGGCAAAGAACAGACATACAGAGCTTATGTCTCAAAAGAGACCTTAACTCCTTTCTAACTTCTGCTTTAGCCTAACATTTAGATTCTCAAAGTTACTTTTTTGACTGGTTTGGATCCTAGATCATCCCCACATTCCAGCAAATGTTAGCTTGTTTCAACAAATTCCTCCATCTACCTTTATCTGAACCACTGAGTAGAGAAGGGTTCACCAGCATCCTCACCTGCCATTTGGTACCTCTCACCTACTGGGACTTACTGATTTGCCCTTGTTATACTTCTTCCACTGGCTTCTGTGAGGGCATCTCATCTACTAGGCATTCTCTAAATCTGCTTTTTGAGCTGGATTTCACACTAGGCTAGAGGAGAAAAAGGATTTTCTTTTATATGTGTGGAATAACCTGACAGCTTTTGTATTTGGGATTCTGGAGATATGAGCTAAATTCCCCTACTCTGAAATTATGGAAATGGGGATTTGAACCAGAATACTTCACAGATCAGTATGTAAATGAGTTGCAGGACAGAAACCCACCAGACCAGCAGAGATTAAATACTGCATCATCTTTTATGTTTTTATGAAAGAAAACTGGCACAATTTACTATTTTACTATTATTGCCTTGTTTTGCATTAAACAGGGTATCAGGAACAAGAACAAATGTGTTTATGAGGTTTAAAACCACAATGAAGGAAGGACTTTTGATGTGGAGGGGAAACAGTCCCATGAGACCGAACAGTGATTTCATCTCTCTAGGCCTTCAGGAGGGAGCATTAATATTCAGGTAAACTTTCCCTTCCTTTTTTGTGTAACACACAGGGCTCAAAGGGGTTGCTACAATGCATACAGTGCACTTGTCCCTTGGCACAATGTGAGACACTCTCATCCTCAAAGTTTTGTTCAATGGTGGGTCCCATTTGCTGTCTGGGAGAGGATGTAAGTTGAAGAGGTAATGTGCTGCAAGATTTGCATCACTCCTCCTTCCCAATTTTTCAAACATCAGGGCTTTATTGTGATTTTCTGAAAGATTTCTTATGAGGGGATGAATACTCTTGGTAAGCCTATTAAACATGACTATTAAATCTATCTCAGTAAGCAGAGCAGGGTAGGGCTGGCAGGGGTCAAGGACAAACTTTGGTGATGCCAGTGCTCAGAGTGGGCTCACTCTTTGCCAGACAGGGCACACAGGAGCAGGGCTTCCACCACCGCAGACCCCCAGATATCCAGCCCTGTGACAAACACACAGCTGTCACCACACCTTGTTTCTGCCACCATCCACAGAATCACTTAATTAAGCAGTAATACTGCTGTCAAAATGGTGAAATTGGGAAGTATTGGGAAATGCTGGGGTCTTGCTCCAGCATCTCTTTCTTCCTTGCAGACACTCGGGCACACCCTGTGCAAGTTTTTGCATGGTGCTTTTTTGGGACTCCTGTGTTTTGAAAGCCTTGTGTTTCCTCATGGTACTACTTCAGGTTGTGTAAGGCAAATACTGAAACAGCAAACCACAAATGCCATCGCTATTGTGGATTGTTGTGAGACACTATCAATCATGTGGCAGAGAGTTTATTATTTAAGATAATTTTTTTACTTAACTGGCTGTTCTTTGCTACCATGAATGTATAGATAAGTTGCACATTTTTATTTAAATTAATTCCTTTCAACCTTTTTTAAAAATGTGATTTAACAGTGGCTAGTTTGGCAAAATCTCTTAGTTTCCTCATTGATTTATAAACAAGGAACTGACTGCAGAAGTGGTACATTGTTTCAATGTCATTCTAAGGGAAGGACTTTCTAAGACACATGGTAGTAAGTGGCCACTCTATTTTGTTTCCAAAACACAGTGCAATTTTTATTAGGTTGCTGCTTTTCCCCAGAGATGAAGATAGTCAAAGACTTTAGACCAAAACAGCTGAATTTTACTGAAATACCTCCTACATTCATTTAGGAAGGGGAAACTTTAACTACCAAAATAAAACCCTCATAAGCAATAACTGTTTACTGAAGAGGAGCATCAAAGAAGATGGTGAAAGGAAAAATGCATTAAAAAATCGTTCTGAAAGATTGATCCTCATGCTATATTTTCATCTTTTGAGAGGTGAAGTCAAGAGACTATCAGGGATGTGACTTTGAAGAATTTTCCTGCAGCCCAAGTTTAGATGTCTATGTTCTGATCCAAATTGAAATCCAAAACACACTTTTACTTTCCCATTTTCTATGGCCTTTATTCCCTATATAGTGTACTTGGTGCTGTAAATTCCGTTGCTTCCTGCTTCTGTCAAAGGTTATTTCACTGTTGTAGCTCTTGTAGAGGGATTAATTAGGGATATGAATCTCATTTCTGTTATCAAAGTTCTAACATTTTGATGCAATCCTAAACACCCAAATCCTCATTTTTAACCTAGACTTGTGTTTGCATCCTGGGTAAAAGGGAGTGCTTGCCTGAGACTCACTTAAACCCCTGGAGAGGAAACAAATTTAGGGCAACCAATTTGCTCTGGGCAGCTCACAGTTTAGTGTGCTGTTCTTGAGAACCTCACCCTGGCCATGAGTTCATTCCATGTTCAGTCTTTTTTGGAGAGAGTGATGTTGGCTTTAATCCCTCCTGCTTCAGGCTGAAGTCCAGCAGCAGCTAGTTCATCTGGAGCACTCAATAGCTCACTGTGCTGTAGCAGATACGTCTCTTTTGTTAAGGTTGGCCCAAGTTTCAGGGACCTAGAAATTAAGATGCCTGAAGTATAAACGTGATGAGGACATTGTATCTGCTGAGTTTTTTAGTAGAAACAAGGACAAAGAATAAATAATTAGAGTAGTAGCTGAAGAGGCTGCATTTATTAGACTTCATCTTTCCAAACATCACCAGTCTCAACCTTCCCTATATTTCAGATGGTTTGTAGATCTGTTATAGGTTGCATGCTTATTTACTCTTGTAAAAATTTATTTATTAACCATATTTGCAAATTCCCCCTGCGGTCTCCTATTAGGCCAAAGATCTGTAGATCACTGACTTCATAATTCCCTGCTGGCTATGCAGAAGGTCTCTTCTTGTTCCTATGGAAAGGTGGTGATGGTACCCTGACTCAGGGAGTTTTGCCTGCTTGTCCATGAGACTTTACAAAATAAGAGCACTGCTGCTGGCAACCCAAAGGACTCCACTGATTGCCCCAAAATCTGAGCCAAAAGGGAGTGAGGATGCCTGAGCAACTTGGCAGGCAACTGGTCCTTTCAAGGAAGGCAGTTAACATTTCAATTTTTTTTTAATTGTAGCTACAATCTGGGCAGTGGCATTGCTTCCATCACGGTGAACGGCTCTTTCAGCGATGGCCGGTGGCACAGAGTCAAAGCTGTTCGGTAAGTGGGCAGGCTTCATCTGGGAGGCACTTGGGAGCCACCCTGCCATTAAAGATGCTGGTTGGTGTGTCCGGATGCTGGTGGGGTGTGAATCACTGCCGCTCCACACTCACATGTCACTTAGGAGTGGAACTGTTAGCAGCTTGGCTGTTTCGGGATGATGTACACAAAGATTGCTGTATTTGAGGTGACAGTGCCAATCCAGCACAGCCCAAGGCAGGCTGCCAAAGTCATGCGGGGCTATTCTGGGGCTGTGACAGACATGCTACTAAACCCATACCATTTCGGTTAAGAGTATTTTTTCTTTAATGTCTGCATTTCAAAATTCCCTGGTGAGCATTTTGTGGGCTAGCACAAGCATTGGAGCACAGACAGTGTAAACCTAGTTTTTCTATTTAGAGGAGGTGCAGACATCTTGCAGTGTATATATAACTCATATTTATAACTCATTACCTCATGGGAGGCAACTGTGTCCAGCAGGGAAAGCATACATCTCTCTTCATGAGAGGTTGATTCCATGGAAATCACAGTCAGACATTTAGCACAAATTGTTACCAAATTCATTGAGAATAGGACCCATCAAGTAGCTTTTCTGTTAATACTGTTATTGACCTTATGTAAAATGGCTCTAGTGAGAAACAAAACTGCCTAAAAGTAAGTTTTACCATAGCTTGCCCATTTTTTCCCTTCTTTTGAAGCTTCTGCTGTTAACTTTTAACATCACATTTGATTTTTAACAACAGATCAGAATGTGCCCATTCTTTCTGTCCCCTCCCTGTCCAATTTGATTATTTTCCATCACTTTCTGCTCTGCAAATGTGTCCTGCACACTTTGCAGGTTTCTTTGCAGGACACTTTGCAGGACAGCTGTAAAAAAAAATACCAAAACCTGGAAAGTCTGGATGGCCATAGTACACTGCGTCTTTGGGTCTTCCCAGTTCCAAGCCTTCATTGTGACCCCAGCTAAGCTCTGAGTTGCTCTGGTGTCCTGGCGAGTGGAAAATGCCGCTGCTCCTCCTCCTGTCTGATTGTAGGCTGGATGAACAAGAGTGATTCACTTTTTGTTTCAGGGATGGACAGTCTGGCAAAGTAACCGTGGACGATTATGGTGCCAGGACCGGTAAATCCCCTGGGAAGATGAGGCAGTTAAATATCAATGGAGATCTCTATGTAGGTGGGTGCTAACTATTCACATTCAGGACACAGACGCAAGGTCAGCTGCAAGGCAGGGCTTTCCAGCTCTGTCCAGCTCCTGGTGGAGGTGCCACACAGCAACCTCTAGTCTGCCACAGCCTTTTTTATGTGAGGAGGCTTCTCTGAGTGGGATGTGGGAATGGGTATAAGAAGGGACGAGCACTATAGGACACCCATGGTACTCCTGGCATGTACATAGAAACAGCAAGAAGCAGCTTGAAACCCCACACCTGAGCACAAGCTGATTCAGCTCTTGTTGATGCTACAATTTCTGAAATATATAATTAGTGTCCTAATTCATTACCTCCTGCTTATCCCCTCTTTAGTTTCAAGTGCTTAAAAATGTTACTTAAAACAACACAGAGAAACCTGTATGTTAAAATTCCCTTCTGAGGTGCCCTAGGAATGGCATTGCTAGGTGTGCAGCTGCCAAGCAGGAGCAGATGCCCATGTTGGTGCTGACAGCTGCCTTTCCCACAGGTGGCATGAAGGAAATTGCCCTGCACACAAACCGGCAGTACCTGCGGGGGCTAGTGGGCTGCATCTCCCACCTCACACTCTCAACTGACTACCACATCTCGCTGGTGGAGGATGCTGCCAATGGGAAGAACATCAACACATGTGGGACCAAGTGACAAGAGAGGAATCCTGGTGCTGAGGACCCGTTGTGTGCTTGTGTGTGTGGCTGAGCAAGAGCTTGCTGATGCAGTCCTCTACAGCTGGACCATGTTTGCCATCTGCGAAGGTGACAAAGCCAAAGGGAAACCCAAAACCAAGAAAAACAAAAGGACATTTTTCCTTTCTCATTCCCTCTCCTGTCCAAATGAAACCAAGCATTTTGTGTATGAACCATGCCCTCTACCCCTTAAGTGTTTAGTGAATGCTAATGGTTGTGCATCAGTGCAAATGGCAAAGTGTGATGTTATAAGTAGCTCAGTGACTGTTTTGTGGTCCTTAGGTTATCTTTTGTAGTATCAGAGAAAGCAATCTTGAAACACCTGCAATCATCCCACCCTGCAGTGATGCATTGACTGTGCTGTTCAACAAATACACCATTGGGCAGCATATTTCTGCAATCACATGTAGGTCCTGGAACAAGCAGTTCTCCTTATCACTCTCTGATTTAGCTAAATTATGTTTCATCCTGTGTAACAGGATAACAGTTACAATGACTGGTTTCAAAATATTGTTGTTTGTTGAGGAGGAAAGTTCTTACAAGTCTACTTTTTTATTACAAGCAACAAAAAAAAATGAACCAATTTTGTAGAAGTAATTTTATACTTGTCTATTTTTTATAGCAGCAGCAGACCTGCTTACATGGCATCACTTTTAACATCTACATGTACTCTACAATTAGCTCTTTGCACACTTTCCTAAAAATAGAAAAGTGACCTGTGGCTTAATGTCTGTATTATACAGTTTTAATGGGGATATTTGCGAGTTATGACCAGTTTTACATCTGACTCTTTTTGTTCTGTAAATTTTGTCAGTTTAAAATTGTACATTATGAAGCTTTCCTGTCAGAACCAGATTAAAAAATTAGGAAAAAAAGAGGAAATACTTGCTACTGTGGCATTATAATTTTTTTTTTTTTTTTTAGAAAAATGAGAAAAGATATTGCAAGAGACCTTGGAAGGTCACAGTCCTCTTAAAATGTTATGTTTTCTAGGCACTGGACCAGCACTTATGCAACCTTGATTGCCAAAGTGTAATTTAAGCAGGCAGAGTGCTGTTGATACACTGAAAGAGTAGTCCAGAATTTCATAACTTGGAGATTTTTCTTCCTTAATTCTTTGTTCGAAGTGGATGAGTGAGCCTGTGAAGGGGCTGGGGGGAGGAAGAGAGACCAACCATGCAGCAAGGCACTCCACAGCCTGCCACGTGCCTGTGGCAGGGGACCCACAAACTTCCTCAGGGGCACAGACTCATCTGAATGCCTGTGAGCTGAAAGGACCTGATGTGGTGAAAGCAATGGATGTGAGGAGGTTTCTGCTGCATTTTACTGTGCCCAGAGTCCTCCTGCCCCACTGAGACCTCACACATATTCCCTAGATTCATCCCACCTACAGCAAATCTAGATAATGGTACAGGCAAATTCCTGCTGAGGACACCTCAGCTCCTGTCCTGCATGCTAAAGGGACACCTTGTTCTCTTAGGCTAAAGATACCTTGTAGGTAAGGTAGCAGTGGTCAAAAACAAGTGCAGGCACTTATTAGAAACAGAAAGTAAAAGAAAAATACATGGTGGTGCCATCATGTGATGTGCAGCTGTGCTCTGTCCTCTGTTCAAATGATACTTCAGGAAAAAATTTGTAGAAGACACAGGCAGCTTGCAGAGGAACTGGAGACACTCATGGCTCTCCTCCCAGGAGAAGCAAAGTTTTGTTTGGCTTGGGAGCCCCATGGGGAAGGAGAAACACTCTGTGGCTGGGAAAAAGCAGGACAAAGTATACCAGATCAAAATGTGCCTTTGAAACGAAAGTAAATGGAATTGGATGCCTTGGGGTGTAAAGTGAAAATGTGCTGAGTTTGAAAAAGAGTGAAAACTAAAATTTCTGGAGGCTGAAGATGTTTCTGTCTACTCAGTGTAGCCCTGTGGGAGTGTCTGAGCTTGGATCATGCCTGAAAGGGAAAATTCACATCTTATGAGCTTGAGGGGTTTTCCAGATGCTTAATGACCTGTCTTGACCTGTCACAGAGTAGGGGGATTTGACTGGCTGTAGCCCTAATCCTCTGGACATGTGCTGGTGTTGATGGGGCTCTTCCAAGGTCCACAAACAGCATCATCCTCTGCTCTGTCTTATGTGCCGTTCCTTTCCCATCCTTTCGTTTCTGTCGCAGGGTTTGGAGACCAGTTCCAAGACAAACATCTGGTGGGAGAGGTCTCTATTTTAAGATAATTTACTGCAGAATACCGGGTGCTTTGGTACGAGGTGGTGCTTCTCCAAAACAAAAGCAACTCTTCTGAAATGTCGCGTAGAGAGGGGTGTGGGTAGGAAATACCTCTGTTGTTGTGGAAAAAGAAGAGCAGCAAACGGCAGCTGCCCAGATGTTTCCAGCTCTGCTTATCACCACGCGGGAATTCGGGGCTGGCGACATCACCCTGCAGCGATGCGGGCTGAGCACGGGCAGCACAGCTGCACGGTGCCGGCCGGGCCGGCGGGAGGAGGAGTAAATAGCAAAGATCCTGAGTGGTTTAAAGGATTCTTTCTGCATCTTTTTAAAGACAATCTGAGAAAACGTCCCTCATCTACGTCTCCACTCTTCCTGGTAAAGCTTGGGGATGGGTTTACTCTGTGGTTTCCACTCCAGGGGCTGAGCAGGAGACCGGTACCAGAAAATCAGGAATATCTGACCACATGTCGAGGTTCTGCCCCTCCTGCCCTCTGCCACCCTCCCCACCGATGCTGGGTCAGGGAAGGAGAAAGGAAAGGTGGACAGTGCATGGCAAAGTGATTAGTCATTTTCCCAGGAACTGGCCTGCATGTGCTGCTCGCTGTCTCCAGGAATGTTTATTAGTCACAATCCTCATTGCTTGGGCTGACTCAAATGAAAGGCATGACCCCAGAACATACCCAGAACAGGGTATGTTCCTGCCGGTTGGAGCCCTGTCCCTTTTGATGCAGTTACTTGTGCAAACCAGCAGAGAAGTTAGCAGCCACAAGAGCTTGTACCTCTCTTTGCAATTTTATCTCCTTCCTTAAACTGCAGTTCTTATTTTTCTTACTAGTTTTCCACATTATTCCCAAAATATGTAACATTCCACTTAGTAGGGATAAACACCTGCCTTGATGCCAGCTTTGGTGGGCTGAGTCAGGCTTTGTGCTGAGCACTGGCTGCTGGCCAGAGCTTCTTCCTGGTTGCCCCTCACTCTTCCCGGGGCAAAGTGTATCTTGCTGCTCTCCACTACTCCTCCATCTCCATGGGAACCAGCTACTAGGAATCAGAAGTTAGGTTTAATCTGCTTCATCCTAAAGGAAAATAAGGAAAAAAGAAAAAGAAAGCAAGTGAAGGCTTTCTAAAGCCAGATGAGACTTAGCAATGCTCACTATGGTTGGAAAATCCTTGCTGCACTAGTTTGTCCTGGGTCAGCCAGGAGCTCATTTCCATCCCCGTCTTCCAGCCCCAGGGAGGAAAAAAGTGAAGAGGAAGAGGAGGAGGGGGTGCCAGGGTTGGGAAGTTGCCCATTCCCTGGATGGAGTATTATCCTGCAATAACTACCTGGTAAAAGTTGCTATTTTGTCAGCCAGGCTTTCCTTTTGAGAAAAAAAAATTCATTCTGTTTGAATGGCAAATTAAACTGGGTGGAAAATGTATTGTTCCAGCTCTGCATGTTCAGCTCCCTCCACAACAGCATTACCCCTCGAGGGGCAAATCTCACTTTAAAGGACTGGATAGGGTACAGTCATGGTTTACTCATGGAGAGCAACAACCATGTCCCATCAGATAGATATATCTTTTATCACCATTTTATTTCTTGGGTGGTGGGGAGATGGGTGGGGTTGTTCCGCTTCCCCAACTCTCTCCCTCAGTTTTTTCATTGGTTTGAGTGGGCACTGTGGAGTCCACAGGGCACCGTGACGTTGTGCTCTTGATTCTGCAGTCTGGCATTTCACTCATAAATAACAGCCTGGTGCCAGCACCTGTGGTCACGGCAGCTCTACAGGGTCCTGGCTTTCTGTCCCTGTGGACAGGACTTGCTAATCTGTGAGTGCCCTCTTGTCAAACCCCTTGTGATGGAAACTGCCTGGCAGTGCTGTGACCAACTGCCCTGATTTCTTTTGAATATCCATTCACTGTCACAGCATTTTTCTTTGTTCATTGTGCACTAAGACAAAGATGACACTGTTCCTCTTCCCCTGCTCTTTCTTTTTAAATCTTCCCTCAATCTTTCTTCCTAGGAAAACAACTGTGCCAGTTCTTTCAACACCATCCCCACAGGCCATGTTTTCCAGCACTTTTTGTTACTGAGATGTAGGGAGAAGCATGGAAGAAATGGAGCTGCAGAGCACGGACACCCCATGTTCTATCTCACAAAATAGCAGCTTTCCAACCTAATTTTTTGCTTTGCAGACTTAAATGGCAACCTACATCATCACTTTTTGTGGACATGGCAGATTTTTCCTAAATTTTTCTGTCTTTTAAAAACATGGGAGGAGCAGTATCTAATATTTTATTTACCATTTCACCCGCTTCCATTTTTTTTTTCCTCTCTAAAATTTTTAGTTTTGGCATCAGCAAAGCAGAATTCAAAAATGGGATCACCCATTTATAATTATGTTTAGGCAGCTTTCATTTGAACTGATTGTTTTTCCCAAAACACAGATTTAATAGGTAACAAGTGTTTCATACAGAGGGACTTTATTTACGTGTTGAGAGAAACCTTCTCTGGTTACAAATCTGAGCATGTACTTCAATGCTACAGCCAGTGCCACAATGGGAGCAACCAGCACTGGCAGCACAGGGAGACTCAAACAGAAGATACAGTTGTGTGCTGGAATAAGGCCAGAAAACATGGATGGTCTGACTCCTCTCCACTCTCATTGTGATGGCCATGTATGGGACAGTTCATGGTCCTCTGCTGATGCTGTTGTGTATCTCCGTGATGATTGTATCTAGTCATTCTAGCTGCCCAGGAGCTGTGTTAAATATACAGCCCAATTGGAT